TCCCACTATATATATATACCTAGGTCCTGAGAGGTAGAGATTGAGCCAACATGACCCGTCCTCACTCCCGGACACCAGTAAATACTAACCTGGAGTCCTGAAAATCCGGGTCTTGAGCAATGACGGCCATGGGGCAGGTCCACCACCCTCAGTGTCAGACCCACGCACGGGGGGGCCTCGCGGCTGAGTGGGCGGCGCTCGGGGCTCGTAGTCCCGATCAACAGCCTCCACATAGTTCAGTGTTTTAAACGTTTCGATGAGAACAGTTGAATCATGTCTGGTTTGCTGTGTTGTCAGCTAAGTGGCCCTCAAGCGTTTCTGGTATGAGAGTTGACTTAGTTCTGAATTGTTTTTGTTGTCCGCTGTTGAAATTTCTCCAATGAAGCTATGTATTACGATGAGGTGTGAAGATGAGGTGTGAAGATGAGGTGTGAAGATGAGGTGTGAAGATGACGTCTGAAGATGAGGTGTGAAGATGAGGTGTGAAGATGACGTCTGAAGATGAGGTGTGAAGATGAGGTGTGAAGATGAGGTGTGAAGATGAGGTGTGAAGATGACGTCTGAAGATGAGGTGTGAAGATGACGTCTGAAGATGAGGTGTGAAGATGAGGTCTAAAGATGAGGTCTGAAGGTGAGGTCTGAAGATGACGTCTGAAGATGAGGTGTGAAGATGAGGTGTGAAGATGAGGTGTGAAGATGAGGTCTAAAGATGAGGTCTGAAGATGAAGTCTGCAGAAGACGTCTGAAGATGAGGTCTGAAGATGAGGTCTGAAGATGAGGTCTAAAGATGAGGTCTGAAGATGAGGTCTGAAGATAACGTCTGAAGATGAAGTCTGAAGATGAAGTCTGAATATGAGGTCTAAAGATGAGGTCTAAAGATGACGTCTGAAGATGAAGTCTGAAGATGAAGTCTGAATATGAGGTCTAAAGATGAGGCCTAAAGATGAGGTCTAAAGATGAGGTCTGAAGATGACGTCTGAGGATAAGGTCTCCATACCTGCAATAATCCACCAGAGACTTAAACAATAACTACCTTCTTTAGTCTTAAAAGTCAAAGGTACTCTTGATTATTCCAATAGTTTGGTTACCTCTTTTTACTGCCGTCTCCCGCCTCTTGTGTAACTTTGAGCCACTGATACATTCCCACTCCAAGGTCCTTGTCTTCGTCAACCTGCTGCAAGGTTGTCTTCTTAATTTAATAGTTGTAACCTGGATTGTGATGCCCCGCTTGCAAGGTCTTGTATTTTTGACGATATAAGTCCTCTTACGCCTGTATCTTTGTCTGTATGTCTTTGTGTGTGTGTGTGTATGTGTGTGTGTGTGCGTGTGTGTGTGTGTGTGTGTGTGTGTGTGTGTGTGTGTGTGTGTGTGTGTGTGTGTGTGTGTGTGTGTGTGTGTGTGTGTACTCACCTAGTTGTGTTTGCGGGGGTTGAGCTCTGGCTCTTTGGTCCCGCCTCTCAACTGTCAATCAACAGGTGTACAGATTCCTGAGCCTATTGGGCTCTATCATATCTACACTTGAAACTGTGTATGGAGTCAGCTCAAGATTCCCCCCACACACACCTCATATTCACATTTCACAAATCCTCACGCCAAATGATTATCACGGACTCACCATAGCCCGTGCTACTTGCAACGTTTCGTTCCAGGTAGCGAATCTTGAACAACAACATCTTCACGCCAAACTAAGGTAATTAGTTGGGTCTGCGGGATGAATGAAGGTGGAGGAGTTCCTTGTGGACCTGCATCGGCCCTCCCAATATTCCCGCCTCAGAGGGGATTAAACCCCGTTATCCCTAACCTGGTCGAAGTGATCGATCCTGTATCGATCTACTTTTTCCCCTCAGAGAGAGAGTGTTGGTGATGGAGGAGGTGCGGCAGAGGGTGGTTCTACTACTCTACACCTGCTACCCACTGGGAATCTACTATTCTATACCTGCCAGCCACTGGGAATCTACTATTCTACACCTGCCAGCCACTGGGAATCTACTATTCTATACCTGCCACCCACCGGTAATTTACCACTCTACACCTGCTACCCGCTGGGAATCTACCACTCTACATCTGCTACCCACCGGGAATCTACCACTCTACACCTACACAACCACCAGACATCTACCACTCTACACCTGCCAACCACCAGACATCTACCACTCTACACCTGCACAACCCACCAGTACACTGCCACTCTCCTTAATTACTCAAACTTTATAAATTTAGGACCAAAACTGATTTAGGTTCAGCAATGATGAGATTACTTCACCCGCTCTACACCTGACCACACTACCTCCCCCCCCACACCCTCCCTACACAACCCCCGTCCCATACAACCCCCCCCCCCCCCTCCCCTCCCACACACACTACCCTCTTTCTATACTACCTATTCACAACACTTTCGTTAGTGAGCGAGAGAGAGAGATAAAGAGAGAGATAAAGAGAGAGAGAGAGAGAGAGAGAGAGAGAGAGAGAGAGAGAGAGAGAGAGAGAGAGAGAGAGAGAGAGAGAGAGAGAGAGAGAGAGAGAGAGAGAGAGAGAGAGAGAGAGATAAAGAGAAAGAGATAAAAAGAGAGATAAAGAGAGAGAGAGCGTAATGATCACATGGGTTTGAAATGACCAATAACAGAAGACCGTGCGATCTGAGCCGCTGTGAGTGGCTGATCCCATTTACACTCGTAAACCAGCGCTGTAAACCCAGAGCGGAAAACCACGGCCGGATGGAACAAGTCTGAGGAGGGTATGGCTTCGGCTCTTGGACCCCCGCCTCTCAACCGTCAATCAACTGGTGTACAGGTTCCCTAGCCTATTGGAACCTCGTTATCATATACACATCTGAAGCTGTGTATAGGCCTCTGCTTCAACCGTTTCACTTTGTTCAGGTCAATTGTTACCATATTTGGTGATTGTGTAACAAGGAGAGTACAATCATTGTTGCCGAGAGAAAACTAGATCATTTTCTCCAAGGAGTGCCGGATCAACCGGGCTGTGGTGGGTATGTGGGCCTGCGGGCCGCTGCAAGCAACAGCCTAGTGGTCCAAACTCTCACAAGTCAAGCCTGGCCTCGGGCCGGGCTTGGGGAGTAGAAGAACTCCCAGAACCCCATCAACCAGGTGTGGCACCCTGGCTGCTCCCCAAATTCCTTTCTGGAGGACATGAGAATAATTCAGGCGCAAGGAGCCAACCCCGGCCTCTCCTGAACTCCTCCAAGTGTTACATAATCTCCTCCAACCCCACACATCTTAGCTCCTGTAAAGGGCATTTTACCCTCCACGAGATCCTTGCTAAGGAAAATTACTGAAGGTAGGAGAATGGATTAGAGGATTACCATCCATTCTCAGCATGTCTGTAACCTTCCCTCTAGATCTCTGTCCCTCCCCAGGTTAACCTACTCTCTGGAGTGCTCACCAACACACACAACACCCCAAGCTACGTCAACATAACGGATCATTACAATCTATGCTGGAAAAAGACTTCAACCTTTCGGTGAATGACCCACAAATGAAAACAATTCTCCCTCGCCGTCACACTTGGCGGCCTCGGTGTATACACCACTACCATGGTCTCTCTGTCAGTCTTCCTGTCCGTAACGTCAGATAATCTGGTGAAGGAAATCCTACCGGATTACAGAGCAACATGGCAGAGGTATACGATTCCAGTTTTATACACTGCCTGACTAAGCGGGCTTCTCTCGCAGCCCCAGCACCCCAACCACCACCATCTGAAGCCCACAAGCAATCCAGCTGGGACAGCCCCACCGTAGTGGGTCTCGATGCTGCAACAAAGCCTCCTGAGGACGCTTGCTTCACACCAAGTAGTGGCTCCCCATGCAGGTCACTCATTAGTGACCTCACGTATGCAACAGGTACAAGTTCAAGTTCAAGTATGTTTATTGAGACAAGAAAGAAATACATCTCAAAAGGATAGAGTAGCTTAGGCTATTTCTACCCGCCCCCCCGCAACAGGTACACGTATCAGACTACAAGCCCTCCAAATTGCAGTGCTCTCTGCTTTGCTGCCCCAATCCCCATCGAATATAGCGGTGTTTTGCGGCGAGGCGAGAGGCCGACAGGTACAGTCAGCATGGCCTGCTCTGATGAAGCACAAGGGTAGGTAACTCAAGGGAGATTAACTCAACCAAGGGAGAGGTAACTCAATAGAAGATTGGACACTGGTGAGGCATTACACACCAAACAAACCCAGCCAACTGTCAACAGCCAGCTGACACCAAGTTACACACTGTCATTTGCCACAACACGACAAAACACCCAACACACTGCCCCAGCCGTCAGTAAAACACAGGAGACTATAGTAAGCTACAGTTGGCCTAATAACCCAGAGTGAGGTGCCATTAGGTGCCACCATTACTTCAGGGTGCTTCACCTCACACTCAGTTATATATTCAGGCTGCTCTAAAATTGTAACCAATTGTACTCTACCTTTGATAATGTTGACCACGGTCAGCGAAACGCATCTCATAGCGTCAGGACATAATACTGTTGTAAAAATGAACTTTTGGAGTTCATTTTTCAACTTCCTTCTCAAGAAAAACATAAGAAAATAGAAACAATTCGAGCTAGTATCATTGATCTCATTACTCTTTGTCATATTCAATAATATGATTACGAAAAATACGGCCACCAAAATATACTAATTATACACATACAAAATATACTAATTATATATATATATATATACCTCCCCATCCGAACACTCAACAGCCCCAGACCCCCCGACGACCTCCCCCCTTCCATTCGACCCAACATGACCACTAGCATGACCTGCCACAGTTGTACGACCGTCGTCCTCTGACGTACACACATCAACTCACTGTTCGATTTGCAATCACTCTTTTTACGCCCTTTAACAGGTGTACGCATACAATTTTTTCACAACCACTATCTTACAAATGTGGCGGGTGAGAGTGCCATGTGTGGCACACGCTGTGTACACGAGGCTGGCACTCATAAACGACCCGAAGACAAGTATCATCTTCACTTACCAGTGCCAATTGTAGTTCCTTCACCAGCTGTTGGATACACGTCTCACTGTAAACACTGTTCCCGGAGCTGCGTCACGTGCCCACCCGCCGCCTGTATGATCACCACTGCGGCGACGAGCGACGGCGAGTAGGGAAATATTCTCCCAATATCAGCTGATCTGGCACCATCTGCCATGCTTGCCCAAACTGTTGTACCGCGCCGTATATACGTATGTGTGCGCGCTCTCGTATATACGTATATGTGTGTGAGCTCTCAGTCCTATGTATCCATGTATGTGTGTATGCATAGGTGTACTTACCTAACAGTTTACAAAATCGAACTCGAAGCTGGGCCCCGCCATTTCAACTGTCGGTCGTATAATACAATGATTTTTTGTCTGAGTTTTTCGTCATATCTGCTTTTAAAACTGTGATCTGAGGCAGTTTCTACAATGATATATTTCCTCTAGTGCATTCTGCTTGCTTGCCGCCTTAACAATGATTAAGTGTTATCAATGTGGCCCATCTGCTTGTCCTCTCCTTACATTACTTCTCAATACAAACATTCTATGACTATTTCATCGACACACCTGAGTATCTGGTATGTCTCGATCATAGCCCGTCCTCGTCAACATACGCTCGTTAATCCAGCCGCCAACCCTCCACCCTCCACGTACTACAAACACAAATAAACCCCAACAGAAACTATACACCAAACCTACGCTTAATTATACATACAATTTTAATGTATGGTAATAGTAATGCTTATATGAGATCAAACCTATTTTATTACACAGTGTTAAAATTTATGAATTCGTTTTTGGGGGGACGGCTGCCGCTTTAACGAGCCTCGTTAAAGGCTCATATATATATGAGTGCATATATATATATGCTTCGAGTTCAGACAACATGCTTCTAAGTGTGTAATAATATCTTGCGGAGTAATACAGTAAATTACTGACAACTATCCGCCTTGTTAAGAGACATAATAAGAGTGGTCTATATGTGAGCGTCTTAGTGTTGTGGTGAGGGTAAGATAGGTGAATGGTAGTTACCTATCAGTGTATCTCTGGCACCTGGGGCCAGATTCACGTGAATGGTAGTTACCCATCAGTGTCTCTGTGGCGCCTGGAGCCAGATTCACGTGAATGGTAGTTACCCATCAGTGTCTCTGTGGCGCCTGGGGCCAGATTCACGTGAATGGTAGTTACCTATCAGTGTCTCTGTGGCGCCTGGGGCCAGATTCACGTGAATGGTAGTTACCCATCAGTGTCTCTGTGGCACCTGGAGCCAGATTCACGAAGCAGTTACGCAAGCACTTACGAACCTGTAAATCTTTTCTCAATCTTTGGCGGCTTTGTTTACAATTATTAAACAGTTAATGAGCTCCGAAGCACCAGGAGGCTGTATATAACAATAACAACAGTTGATTGGCAAGTTTTCATGCTTGTAAACTGTTTAATAAATGTAACCAAAGCCGTCAAAGATTGAGGAAAGATGTACACGTTCGTAAGTGCTTGCGGAACTGCTTCGTGAATCAGGCCCCTTGTTCCCCTCACGAACCCACACTCACTCGTGACTTAACGGTAAATAATAACTAAGAGATTGATATCGAGAACAACACTAAGAGACAACGTGGACGTGATTCGATTGTAACAATTAATTGGGTGATTCGTGACACGTGACTCCGATTGTGTGGGTTGACAACACTGATCCGCCAACTTGGGGTCCAGGAGCCAGCCAAGACCCCAGGGGCCAGCCAAGACCCCAGGGGCCAGCCAAGACCCCAGGGGTCAGCCAAGACCCCAGGGGTCAGCCAAGACCCCAGGGGTCAGCCAAGACCCCAGGGGCCAGCCAAGACCCCAGGGGTCAGCCAAGACCCCAGGGGTCAGCCAAGACCCCAGGGGCCAGCCAAGACCCCAGGGGTCAGCCAAGACCCCAGGGGTCAGCCAAGACCCCAGGGGTCAGCCAAGACCCCAGGGGTCAGCCAAGACCCCAGGGGTCAGCCAAGACCCCAGGGGCCAGCCAAGACCCCAGGGGTCAGCCAAGACCCCAGGGGTCAGCCAAGACCCCAGGGGTCAGCCAAGACCCCAGGGGCCAGCCAAGACCCCAGGGGTCAGCCAAGACCCCAGGGGTCAGCCAAGACCCCAGGGGTCAGCCAAGACCCCAGGGGCCAGCCAAGACCCCCAGGTCTTAACGAGGGTTAATGTGAAGAGACAGAGTGTGGCTGAGAGTGAGTGACCCGTGTAAGCACTTACTGTTCATCTTGTATAACGTTGTCTCGCCTCCATGGCTTGTTCGTGAGGCGTAACCAGTTGGGTAGACCTGCCAGCACCTGAGTTGATCTGGGGGGGGGGGAGGGGAAAGAGCCCAATAGGCTCAGGAACCTGTACACCTGTTGATTGACGGTTGAGAGGCGGGACCAAAGAGCCAGAGCTCAACCCCTGCAAACACAACTAGGTGAGTACACACACACACATACACACACACACACACACACACACACACACACACACACACACACACACACACACACACACACACACACACACACACACACACACACACACACACACACACACCAGGTAGGGTCGGCAGGCGGGCATCACACTCAGGTCAAGATTCCAAGTACAACTTTGCTTCCTCGTCTTACACCCCCTCCTCACCCCCACTCCACCCCCACTCCTCACTCCTCCCCCTCCCCCTCCCCTCAAACCCTCACTTCTCGCCTCCCTCCCCCCTCATCAACTCCAGCCCCGTCCTTACCGCCCCCTCCATCCCAACCCCGCTACAAGTCAACCCCCTCCTAACCCCACCTAACCCCACCTAACCTAACCCAAATCTCAAGCCACAGTTGAAGGACAAGCCGTTGCAGTGCAGGATAGCTGCCTCTTGTGCAATACCTTGCAACTTCCTGGAACATTAGCGCTCTCTCCCTCTCCTGTCTCTCCCTACCTCTCCTCTCTCTCTCTCTCTTCGTAGCAACGATTGTCTCTTGCCAGTTTTTGTGGCAGGTAAGTGAAGTGTAAAGTAAGGCTGGCAGTACCCCGGCTGGTGCAGGGAGGTCACCCTTGACCTTCCCTGTCAAAGGCTCTCCCTCTAATATTATTTATGAAGCTTCAGCGAGAAAGGTGAACTCACGGGCGCTCGACTGGCTAGTCTATAAGCTATTGGTGTTGAACACTCGTTCGACTCCCGCTGGTGTTAATTACCAGGTAGATGCGTTCCCCCAGTCATGTTTCCCCACCTCTCTTTCCTCTCTTCTTCCCCCTCACTCTTCCCCTCCCTCGTCATCAGATCATCCCTCACACAATAATTACCCTGTCGTAGCTCAGTCGATTAAGGCAGTGTCTGGGATGCTCCCGGACGCAGGTTCGAATCCTCGTCACGGCCCTTGTGGATTTGTTCAGATCACCCCTCACTTCCCTCCACCCCTCACTGGACCACCTGTGCCTCTTCACCACCAACTCCACAGTACCACAAGAGGCACAAGGCACAAGAGGCGCCTCAACATGTAATCAATACAGAGTTCGTACGGGACTAACTGATCGTAAGAAAGGACAAACTATCACAGAAAAAGAAGAGGAGTGATCCTCTTAATACGAAATGAAGGAATCTTTTAGAATATGAAGCGAGCGCTTTGTCATGGGTTCGTATCCTGGCCGGGGAGGATTTACTGGGCGCAATTCCTTAACTGTAGCCTGTGTTTAACGCAACAGTAATATGTGTACTTGGTTGTAACAACGATTCTTCGCGGCGGGGATCGTATTCCAGGGACCTGCCCGGAACGCTACGCGTACTAGTGGCTCTACAAGAATGTAACAACTCTTGTATATATCTCAATATATATATATATATATATATATATATATATATATATATATATATATATATATATATATATATATATATATATATATATATGAATAATGCATGCAATGAATAGTTCCACTCCACAGTACCTCGACCAGGGTGGAGGCCTGGTCGAGGACCGGGCCACGGGGACACTAAAGCCCCGAAATCATCTCAAGATAACCTCAAGATCTCAAGATAACTCCCAACAGTACCAGGGGGAGGGAAATGATTCTGGGGGCCGGGATCTTCTACAACTCCCCAGTGAATAACAAGGAGGCCTCGGCAAGGCAATAAATATCTTCTTCTTGAGATGATTTCGGGGCTTTAGTGTCCCCGCGGCCCGGTCCTCGACCAGGCCTCCACCCCCAGGAAGCAGCCCGTGACAGCTGACTAACACCCAAGTACCTATTTTACTGGTAGGTAACAGGGGCATAGGGTGAAAGAAACTCTGCCCATTGTTTCTCTCCGGCGCCCGGGATCGAACCCGGGACCACAGGATCACAAGTCCAGTGTGCTGTCCGCTCGGCCGACCGGCTCCCCTATAGCCCAGTTATTATTCAAGATATCCTTTATGTTCATCCTTCATCCTTTCAATATCCTTGTTTACCAACTCTAAGGTCATCTGATCCTATCGTGACAAATACACTGAAAATCAAACTATCAAACTTCAAACTATCAGTTTGAAGTTTGATAGTTTTCAAACTATCAGTTTGAAAACAAATTGATAATTTTGCCTACACTCTGGCAAACTCTAGGTGCATTATGAGGATATCTTCAAGAATACGAGAGTTAATGAAGTAATTGCAAAGCTCCAGGTACCTCATGCCAACTGGTTTGAATGGTCTGATAACTGGGCATTCAGTGATGTAGTGTGGGAGATCATGCCGCAGTTCCTGCTCACAGAGTTTGTTGCACCTGGAGTGCTCAGGATTGGGAGACCCGTCACCTGTAGCCACCTGCCACAGGTAACGGTAAAGCCACCTGCCACAGGTAACGGTATAGCCACCTGCCACAGGTAACGGTATAGCCACCTGCCACAGGTAACGGTAGCCACCTGCCACAGGTAACGGTATAGCCACCTGCCACAGGTAACGGTAGCCACCTGCCACAGGTAACGGTATAGCCACCTGCCACAGGTAACGGTAGCCATCTGCCACAGGTAACGGTAGCCACCTGCCACAGGTAACGGTAGCCACCTGCCACACGTAACGGTATAGCCACCTGCCACAGGTAACGGTAGCCACCTGCCACAGGTAACGGTATAGCCACCTGCCACAG